ATGTTCAACCACCTTATAGGAGACATGTTTGTTAAATAAAATAAATTGAAGTAAATTTACTTATTTATCTACTAATGAAGTCTGAAGGTTAATAAGTATCAACTATTATTCTCAAATATCTTTATCTATTTATTGATTGGCCACTGTCTGTTAGACGTTCAGTCGTAACGATGAACTAACATCAAAGTTTCATGTAATATGCATGATTAACATGATCATGATTATATTCGTGTGTGCATGTTATAATGAAAATATTGTATAATCATCAAAAGTGTGATAGGGCATCACACTTGTTTTTCATGACTACATTAAGATTAGGATTGAATAGAGTTAACTTTAGGAGTTTGAGGGTCGTTGGTGATTCAGGGATTGGGGAGATTGAGGAAGGGGAGGGTAATTGGGCCTCCGGTAACCTCACTCACACGACGAAACACAACGCCAGCGTTGCTTCGCGTCGGTTTACTGTGAGGCCGTGGTATCACTCCGGTCGAGCCGGCCCATTCGTGCCGAAGCATGACTCTCCCACGCTTACCTATTTATAATACTGTACCTATTTATAATACAAAATATAGTTACTTTCTTTCACAAGCTATTTTATCTTTACAAACAAATGTATACTAAATAACATGGTTGAACTGCAACAGTACAACAACATGGTTGACTACCACAGTGAGTATGGCGGGCAGTAAGAAGATCCCAACTGGCACCTTCGACATAAACCTGATATGTAGCGGGTGCTTCTTGATCACACGGATAAAGTCCTTTATCATCTTCCTTTTTGATGTATTAGTATCTGAAACTGAATTTGTACGTCAACATCTCATTGCACGAGATTAAGAGTAAAACCTTTAGAAATTCTTATAAAACTATTACTTAAAATTATTATTTTACTTAATCTTACAGATGATATTCGATATTCAATTACCGGAGGTTACCGGACACCCAGCTTCTCCCCCCTTCCTCAATCTCCCCAATCCCCGAATCCCCAACAATCCTCAAACTCCTAATCCCCAAAAGACCGGTAACGCACTTGTAACGCTTCTGGTGTTCCAAGTGTCCATGGGCCATAAAAAAAATTTAGTTATCGCTATCCGGATTAAAAGTAAGTACATACATCATCAACTGAATTTTCTCATATTCTGTGCTAGACATAGGCCTCTCCAATGGCACGCCACTGAGTTCGACCTTCAGCTCTACGCATCCAACCGCTACCAGCTACCTTGTGGATATTGTCACTTCAAATAGCTGGTCTAGCAACTATAAACGCGGTCTCCATTCCGGAACACACCAGAACTTCGACTAATGTGACAGGCCCACACATACATCAATTTATTTTTATTTTATAACGTTGTCCCACAGTAGGATTTTCTCCTGTGTCGTGGATGCGTTTACAAACATACAAGTTCACATACACATGACACCCAAACCCGGCAACAATTTGTGGATCACACAAAGAGTTGCTTCGTGCGGTAATCGAATCCGCGACACGTTACGCGGCAGCCAGTTGCTCAGCCACCATACCAACCGTGCAATCAAACAAAACAAAAAAGACATATTTACTATGTTTCATAATTATCCACCTTCAATCATAGAGTTGTGCAGTCGAGCCATCACCCTCTGACACTTCATCCACTGGTTACTTGCCATTTGTGTCGCCATTAAAGGTAAGGTTAGCATTATTCCAAAATTAGTTACAGTCAAGCAAACCTTGATATCCTCAAAAACACTCCACGTCTGTAATTATGAATTGTTAAGTAAGTAATTATGTTTTAAATTCAATAAACCGAAATTAAACATTGAGTATTGTCTATAATATTTTTCGGCTTACTCACGTAATTGTTTGAGGAACTCGACTCATTTCAAGCTATACTGGAGGCTCATACTCATGGGCATTGTTCCGAGGGCACGATGGGCGTGCAAACTGCTCCTAAATATGAGCTTCTAGCATGACCTGAAACTAGTCTAGTTTTTCGGGAAACAATTAATTGGTAAGCCGAAAAACACAATAATTAATTGTAACATATATAAATATTGAGTATTGTAATTTGTAATGTAAGTTGACATACCTCAATGACTCTGTAGTACACGACATAGTAAATAATTAATATGTAATTTAAAATATTACACATCAATGTAAAGATGAACTGAAAGCAAAATAAATTAATTTAGATGGAAGTCAATCGTGTGTACTTGGGTTTACTGTTGTAGTATGCCGTGTGTTAGGGAATGAAAGGGCAATTATTGGTATTTTCTTTTTATTGCAATTTAAAAGGCGATAAAAAATATTAAGCAATTAAAGAAGCCCTTTTTTAACACAGGCGTGATATTGAGTTAATTTTCATGCATATTACATGTACGAAATTGTTAGAAAAAACTATATAAATATAGTAATTTAGACACCATACTACAATAGTTCCTGTTACCTGTCCTCCGAAGCACACAGCCACCTTTTCACAGCAGTTTACCAGCTCCTGGTACAGTTCCACCCATCTGGTGACTGTCTCCCCTGTGATAACATCACTTGTGCCACATCTGTGCACTCTCTTCTGAGCCTCCACCATCAACGATATCAGGGCTTTGGACAGATCTACTATTGTCATTACGGTTACGAACAATACAAATTGTTCAAATGTTACAGCGGTTCTCGAAATAACTTCTGATGATATAATGGGAATTGCAGTGACATTCGTCGATCCAAAATACATCGGAAAAACCTCTATAGTTTTGTAGAGGCAAAATACAAAATTGGTTATAATATAAATTACGATGGCCCAGTAATGCCTTGTTCTCAACGAATTAATAATTTGTTTGTCGCATTTTAATCTTTCGTAAATACGAGTGATGCTCATAAAGTATGATACAAAGGCCTGGCTATAAATAATACCGTACACAAGTGACACTAAATAGTTCATATAGCTTAAGACAACGAATATAGTATATTCTAAGTAGTCCCTGAATGAAACGGCATCAGTTCGTAAATAATACAGTGTATTAATATGAATCAACAGATGTGTTAAATTCTGTACAAATATTTGTGTAATTATCAAATACTTTTTTATCTTCGTCTGACTTGAATAGTTTCTGTATATGCCGTTTATGTTTTCGATTTTTAAGAAACATTTTAACCATCGTCTATGTGACATATTTGTTGTGATGTAATATCTAAATTGGAAGCGGAACACATTATGTATTTAAATGACTTCCTAAGTAACATAAATGTTTATTATACATACTTTAGCTTATACAATATACATTGTGTAATTTGTTAAAGTTGTTTCAAAATCTAGGAGATAATGTTGTCATATGTAGGACAAGTCTTTACCAAATTGATTAATTAAGATAACTTAAATCACGCCTAGTTTAACCAGTGGTTTGTTTTTAAATACTACAGTATTGGATATACGTAACGGCTACCCTACTGGGTCAAATCATAAATTTATCAAAAGAATGAAATAAAAAATAACAAATTAATATTAAAAAGTACTTGCAGATGACTTTATTTCCGAACAATTTTCTGACATAAAAATTCAGTGACAATAGATAAAACTAGACTAAACTCGACTATTATAGAAAAGAAACATTTTTATTGATTAATTGTTAAATGGTCTGGCTTCAGTAGTTTCTGTATACTCCGGAAACATTTTCGATCGATATAAACATATAGGTAATTACGCTATAGAAGACATGTTTTGTAAGACGGGGATAGCAATTTATATTTTAACTAGCTACTTCCGCGCGGTTTCACACGCTCTGCTCAGATCCTATTGGTCGTAGCGTAATGTTTTATAGCTTATAGCAATCCTCGATAAATGCGCAATCCAACACAAAAAGAATTATTCAAATCAGACTTGTAGTTATGGAGATTAGCGCGTTCAAACAAACAAACAAAAAAACAAACTCTTCCGCTTTATATAATACCTCTAGTATAAAGATATAAGATAAGTTTTAATAGAAGTCAAAGTATCTTTTAGATATCCAAAATGTTCTTAAGTAATTGTACCTTTCAATTATATTTATTGTGTGGCTAATTTATCATGTTTCTTGAAGTATGAGTCGATATAATATGACGATACATATTTTCTGAGTAACATTACTTTGTATAACTTAGCTCTAGCATATGCATCCCCACCATATAGATGGTTGGCAGGCCACAATTGTGCGCTTCTCACGTAGCTTCCTGCCTCGCACAGCAAAACTGGAATGATCTGTCGTCGGCGGTATTTCCGAACCGATACGACCTTCAAACCTTCAAGAAAAGAGCGTACTCCTTTTTAAAAGGCCGGCAACGCACACCTGTGACTCCTCTGGTGTTGTGGGTGTCCATAGGCAGCGCTGCTCGCTTACCATCAGGTGATCCGTCTGCTCATTTGCCTCCTATTCCATAAAAAAAAACTTATTTTATGTTTATTGTACCTACTAGTGATTTGTAAGTAACTGATTGCTGGCACGGCTTTGTTTTTTAATTGGATTACTCAGGTTAACAAATTTTACATTACTCTTTTAATAACAAATGAAATCTGTCACTAAAAAAAAATCTGTCTCGTTGACCGAGTGGTCGCAAGTGCGACTGCCAGGTATAGGGTCATGGGTTCGATTCTCGGGTTGGGCAAAGTATTACTGGGTTTTTCTCAGTAGTAGCACGGAGTCTGTATATGGCAATAGGCTCAACCCCTATTACATGGGACTCGTAACATAAATAGTGAAATGTGGGTGTTACATTGTACAGTGGCATTAAGTAATGAAAGGCGTGGTTATATTATGTGATGAAATTTGTACTTTTGAATTAATCGGTGTACATCATCATACGTACATTTGCTCTTTTTTACATAACAAATAAAATATTATTTCAAGTAAACAAAACTAAGAAGAGACTACGAAATGAATAAAAAAAATATTTTGCATAATAACAGTTATTTTAATTTCACACGGAAAACGTGAAAAACGTAACACTCATGTTATAAAATATACGAATAATTTAATACTAATTATATATTTATTAACTATACAACATGATTGAACTGCAACAGTATAATAACATGGTTGACTACCGCAGTGAGTATGGCGGGCAGCAAGAAGATCCCAACTGGCACCTTGGACATAAATCTAATGTGTAGCGGGTGCTTCTTGATCACACGGATAAAGTCCTTTATCATCTTTCTCTCTGTCGCACCAGTATCTGAAACTGCGTTGAAATTACTACGTCAAAAATGTTGATCCTTACAATCTAAAGGTGCTCCCACACAGCAGTTGTATAACGTTAGAGTTTGCCCAAATATGTCGTGGTGGCCCAGAGTTTTGAGACGCCCGCTTCTCACGCATGAGGGTGCAGTTTTGTAACCTACCAACGACAAGTATCAATGTGACTTATTCCGAGTTACATGTACTTTCTAAGACTATCTAGACACCACTGACAAATGGCGAAGAAAAACATCGTGAGGAAACCAGGGCTTATAATTTCTAATTATAAGTTTGTAATCGCCAATCCGCATTGAGCAAGCGTGGTGATTAATGCTCAAACCTTCTCCGTGTGAGAAAAGGCTTTGCACAGCAGTGGGCACATATAGGCTGTTGATGATGATGGTAATAAGAGGCTGACTTTATATTTGTTTTTAAAACAAATCATAACAAAAGTTGTAGTAGTAACTTATCATATTGTAGAGTATGTTTCCCGCTATTGTAAATGTGGTATAACGATAAATAACTGCTGTTTTTGTTAAAGGGGTTAAAATCATCGAATGACTCCTCCCGCCTGGGTGAGGCGTCTTCTGAATCCCCGAATCCTCCACAATCCTCAATTTCCCAAAAGGCCGATAACGCACTTGTAACACCTTGGTGTTTCGAGTGTCCATGGGCGGCGCCGACTGCTTACCATCAGGTGATCCGTCTGCTCGTTTACCGCTTATGTTATAAAAAAAAAACTAGAATTACCGTCAATCATAGTATTGTGCAGTCGAGCCAACGCCCTCTGACACCTCACCCACTGATTACTTGCCATTTGTGTCGCCACTATGGGTAATGTAATAACCATTGCATAAACGAGTACAAAAAACCAAAGTTTGAAATCCTCAAAAATTGGCACCTTCTGTAATCGGAAAGCATTACTTTGAACTTTGAGTTAAAAAATATACATTAATATACTTAATTACAAATTAAAATTAAAACTTCAACGAACGTACCTGTATAATATGATAATATATGTAATAGTAAAGCAGAAAGGCATAATACAAAGTGGAACACGCCATTGACAGCTTATGCTGAAATAAAAGCAATATAATTAAACCTACTGCCATTGCCTGCATTAAACCATTGAGGAGTTCTCTAAGCCATCATACTACTTCATCATTGGATCTTTAATGGCTATCGCACCCCATCTAGGTGTAAAGTCCTCATCAATACAAATTGTCAAACCCAAACACAAGGTAGCTACTGTTACCCGTTGAGGAATTCCCTCAACTATCGGACTACTTCCTCATCAGTCCCTTATTGACAACCACACCACACCTAGGTGTAAAATCCTAATCAATACAAATTAATCAAACCCAAACACAAGGTAGCTACTGTTAACCGTTGAGGAATTCCCTCAACTGGCTCTCAGTTCCATTACCAGATCGACTCAAGAACTTTATCAGATTATAGTGATTTTAAATACTTAATTAAAAAATTAACAAATGCACGCCCCTGTAATTTTTAAAAGTTCTCTTTGGTTCCCCTGATATTCTCTAACCTTATAACCTGATAACCTTTCTGCTATGATCAGATATATAATGAAACTGAAATCTTCAGTTCTAAACTTGTACTAAAGAATCAAATAAAAAAATATCAAATAAAATCATAAACTAACCAGTCCTCCAAAGCACACAGCCACCTTGTCACAGCAGTTTACCAACTCCTGGTACAGTTCCACCCAACCTTTGACTGTCTCCCCTGTGATAACATCACCTGTGCCACATCTGTGCACTCTCTGCTGAGCGTCCACCATCAACGATATCAGGGCTTTGGACAGATCTACTATTGTCATTACGGTTATAAACAGCATAAAATGCTCAATTACTATAGTAGATCTCCACATAAATTCTGATATTGCACAAGGTATCGGAAAAACATGTACCCAAAAAAAATTAGTATCAATACTTCCAACAAATAAGACGACGACGCCATATAAACAACAAGCTACGAATATAGCCAAGCTTAACCAGTGATAAGTTGATTTAAATGAATAAATTATTTCTCTGTGACATTTTAAACATTCGTAGACACGAGTGACGCTCATAAAGTATGACACAAACGCGTGGCTGTAGGTAGTGCCGACCGCCACCGATACAAAACAGTTTAAGAAGGAGCATATTCCAAATATGCCAAATTGTAAATATTCATTGTAAGCAGAAGTGCGTTTTATTAAGGAATACACTCCATCAAAGACCTCTATAAGATACAATGAATTCTGCACTGACAATTGTATCATTACCAAACATTTTTTAATCTTGTTGTAATTTGAGTAGTTTCTGTAAATGCCGAATATTTTTTCGAGTGATGAAAAAATTGACAACCACAGAGTAGGAGGCATTGTCCTAGAATATTTAGTGGTCACTTTAATGCATCTAAGTAAGGTTAAGTAATTATATGTCACTAATACTATTGACTGGATATAGGAAAATAAAAAGTACTTATTTTGTAAAATTACTTAACTAAAGTAGGTAAAAGTAATTTCTACTGAAGCTACATTATGATAAATACATTATAATAAAAAAGCTCTATTGTTTAATAAAACATATATTATTATTGTAGGTATCTCCATAAATGATGGAGACTTTCGGACGAAATTATACACTATAAGAATACACCAAAACTATGACACTGATTATTTAGAAATCCTATACAACATGATTAAACTGCAACAGGATAATAACATGGTTGACTACCGCAGTGAGTATGGCGGGCAGTAAGAAGATCCCAACTGGCACCTTGGACATAAACCTGATTTGCAGCGGGTGCTTCTTGATCACACGGATAAAGTCCTTTATCATCTTCCTTTCTGCTGTATTAACATCTGAAACAAACTATGTACGTCAGTTTTGCATATGGGAGAACCGTAGTTCGGCTCAGCCTTGATATTATTACCATCGATCATATTGTTGTGCAGTCGAGCAATCACTCTCTGACACCTCACCCACTGGTTACTGGCCATTTGTGTCGCCACTATGGGTAATGACATTATCATCACGTATCCAATCATCAGAAACCATAGTTTGAAATTGTCGTCAAATTCCAGCGTCTGTAATACAAATTTTAATTTCTTTTAAAATTGTACTACCAAGCCGAAAATATTTTTTAGCTAGATCTACAAAATTCATAATTAATTTGAAAGTAATTAATTACCTTAAAAACGTTAAAGTAAATGAAATTATAAACCACGTTAACATAATGCACTATAGTACACGTAAGTGAAAAGATGTACTGAAACAAAAACAATTTAAGAATTAATAATTCCTCATTTATTGTTTCCTAGCTAAGCTACTAGGTGATCTGCTGACCTACTAGCACACAAGATGGGGTGAATATAAATAAAACCGCCACTGTGTACTGTTCTATGCTGGTATATATATTTGTTCTTGTACTTTGAACTTTGAACTACTTGGTCTTACAAATCAATTTTACCTTATAGTTTCATTGGTAACGAAACCATAGCTCGATTTTAATTGCGGCAACGCCATCTATCGAGCCATGAGACAACTTTGGAATAATAATATTTATTTTGACTTTAACAATAAGTTTGGTCTTGAACATACCGCCCACCAAGGACATTTAGTGGAGGAATGTCCTTCTTAACATTTGTCCTTAAACTAAATATAACTAAAAAATATGAAAATAGGTTTTTGCACAGTAACATTTTGCACAGGTTTAACAAAAATACAATTCATTAACTGGTAACATTACAACTTTTTCTTAACATTAAATAAACCTTGGAAACTTAATAGTATCTAAACATAAATAGAACTTGTAGACAAAGTGAGAAAAATCTTCAACAAAAACTATATTAAATAAACCTTACAACTAAACAAAAATATTTATCACGCATCACAAGTTGAGATGATACAAAGCATGTAGTTATTAAAGTACTATTTATCTGCTACTGGCAAAATACACAGTTTGTTAGTTGGCCTCTTAATAATGCTTGTTTTGGTTTTTAATGTGACAACCCGAGTGACTTTATCATTCCCTGGATGTTTGTCGACTACACGTCCTAACATCCAATGACTTGGAGGTAGATCGTCCTCCTTAATTAGAACGACGTCTCCAATGTTTGGTTCAGGAACAATGAAAGACCATTTATATCTGTTCATTAGATTCGTAAGGTATTCATTGGACCATCGCTTCCAAAAGGAGTGCAGCATTCGCTGCACGAATTGCCACCTTGTAAGAGAACCTACTGAGACATTCTCGTAATTGTAATCCGGTACAGAAACAAGCGGTTCTCCGATTAAAAAATGTCCCGGAGTCAAAGGCATAGATTCTCCTGGATCGTCTAAATGAATAACACTAATAGGTCGTGAATTCAAGCAAGCCTCGACCTGAGTAAGGAATGTAGTGAGCTCTTCATATGTGAGAGTAGACTCGCCTATTACGCGCTTAATATGGTATTTTGTGGACTTCACCTCCGCTTCCCATAGACCGCCAAAATTGGGTGCATGGGGGGAATGAAGTGCCATTCAGTGCCATTTGCTTCTAAATTTTCTGCTATGGATGACTGCAAAGTTGAAATTTGCTGAAGTTCCCTAGAAGCACCAACAAAAGTGGTACCATTGTCGCTCCACAACTTTGAACAGTGACCTCGTCGAGACACAAATCGTCTAAAGGCAGCTAAGAATGCCTGTGTTGTTATGTCACTGACTACTTCGAGATGAAGAGCGCGTGTAGTCATACACACAAACAAACATATGTAGCCTTTGTAAGATTTGTGTCCCCTACCTTTAGTGGTTCTAATGTTTATTGGACCTGCGTAATCAACACCGCTGTGCAGGAACGGCCTTGCAGGGGAGCAGCGAATCGATGGAAGCGACCCCATCATTTGATTGCGAATAGTGGCTCTTTGTTTCGCACAAATGATGCACTTGCGAACGTATAGCTTCACCAGTTCTCTTACACCAATGATCCAATAAGCGGTTCGCAAATAATTAATCATTAATTGTGGACCTCCATGTAGAGTTTTACTATGAGCGTCCGCAATTATGAGTAGGGTAAAGTGTGACTTCTTGGGCAAGATTATGGGGTGCTTTATTAGTTCATCTAGTGGAGCCTTATCTATTCGTCCCTGAGCTTTCATAATGCCTTTGTCATCAAGGTAAGGACATAAGGATTTGAGTGTACTATTTTTCAAAGGTAAGTCTGATTTATCATATAATTGTTTGTACTCTGTGGAAAACTCTTTCTTTTGTACTATCTTTATACAACATTCTAATGCTTCATGTATCTCTTTCTTTTGCAGGTAAAGTTTGCTTCTGGCATCTCTGTTTAGGAATCGCCGACAATATGCAACAACCTTTAATAACTTTGACAATGAAGAAAATCTTTCAAGTAAGTCAAAATCATTTGATATAATAACTCCTACATGAGTTTTAATCGACTGTTCTAAATTGATCTCTAACTCTTTTGGTCTAAAATAACTAATTTCCGTTTCTTTCAGAAACTGTGGTCCTGAAAACCACATTGTATTTTGCCTGAACAAACTTGGTGACAACCCTCGAGAGGCAACATCCGCTGGATTATCTTTAGTCGACACGTGGAACCATTGCGAAGCTGTCATTGTGGTTAAGATTTCGGATGTCCTATTGGCGACAAAGGTTTTCCATTTACTGGGGTGGCTGTTGATCCAAGCTAACACCACAGTAGAGTCTGTCCACGCTTTAATCTTATCTTTGGGTATATTCAACACCTCAGCAGTTTCCATCAATAGTTGTGACAGGAGAACTGCCCCACACAGCTCTAAGCGAGGAATGCTAACTTGTTTGATTGGTGCCACGCGAGTCCTTGCAACCACCAATGACACTTTGACTTCTACGTTTTTAGTTAGTCGCATGTATACTACAGCGGAATATGCTACCTTCGACGCGTCACAAAATCCATGGAGCTCTACGTCGGTTTCTATGGTTTTCCCCAGCCAACGAGGTATATTAACTTCGGTAAGTAATGTTAGCTGTTCCCGATAAGTACGCCATTCTTCCGTTAATTGTTCAGTAAGTAGTTCATCCCAACCGAGACCCACGAGCCATAATTTCTGTATAAAGATTTTGGCTACAACTACTGTGGGTGCTAGCCAACCCAATGGGTCGAATAATCTAGCTATATCAGAGATTACAGTTCTTTTTGTTGCAGGTGTATTCTGAAGCGGCGGGAGATGAACGGTGTACCGGAAGGAGTCATCATTACGATCCCAGGTAAGTCCCAAGATCTTCATAGTATTATCTAATTTCATTTCTAATTCCTTTTGATCTCTATCTTTAGCTTTACTCTCATTTTCTTCGTTGTTCTCTACTTTATGCTCTATTGTATTAATTTGATCTAATAACTCTTTATTGTTAGTATTCCACTTTTGAAGTTCAAAACCTCCTTTGGCTAAAAGTTCTTTCATTTGCTTGTAGATTTTGATGCCGGTACTGACGTCATCGCATCCGGTCATTAAATCGTCCATATAGTAGCATCTTAGTACCTTTTCAGTCACGAGAGGATATTCGTCGCCTTCGTCGTAAGCAATTTGATGGAGAGTTCTAACCGCCAGGTAAGGTGCCGACGCCGTTCCAAAAGTAACTGTTAGGAGTTCATAGTCTTTGATCGACTCGTTAGGACTGCTCCGCCAGAGTATCCTTTGAAACATAGCATCCTCATCAGCTACCCTAATTTGGCGATACATCTTAATTTATCTGCCACCAATCCAATAGAGTGAGTTCTCCATCTCATAATTGTGTGCCTCAAGTCCGCTTGTAGTGTCGGTCCAACCATCAAAGTATCATTTAAGGAAACTCCTTTATTGTTCTTCTGAGATGCATTGAACACAACTCGAACCTTAGTAGTGGTTTTGTCTTCTCTTACGACGGCGTGATGTGGTAAATAAACAGCTATTTCTTTTTTTTCATCTGGTTTGACAGGTCGCATGTGCCCTAAACGTAAGTATTCTTCTATTACATCCGAGTACTTTTCTTTTAGCTCAGTGTTCTTTGCCAACCGTTTCTCTAATGATTTTAATCTGTTTTCAGCTATAGCGCGAGAATCACCTGCTGTGCACTGCGGATCCTTAACTCGAAATGGTAGCCGGACTTCATATCTACCGTCTGCTCTTCTTTTAGTTGTGGCCTTGTAAAAGTCTTCACATTGTTGTTCTTCTGGCGAAAGTACCTTTTTTGTACTAGTTTGATCTTGAATTTCCCAAAACTGTTTGAGAATTTGATCTAAATTGAACTGAGCGTGTGCTACACTAACACATGGTTGTGTATAACTTGAACTATTGTCAGTGTTTGACCTATGTACTACACCAGATAGAATCCATCCTAATGTGGTGTTCTGAGCAATTAAAGTAGCAGTTGGACTTTTGATAATGCCTGGTTTTATTATGCAACCATAAACATCAGCACCTAGTAAAATATCAATTTTACTGGGTTGATTGAACTGTGGGTCGGCCAACTGTAAGTTGGTGATATCGAACCAGTTAAAAGTATTTTTATTTAATGCTTGATCAGGTAAGTATGAAGTAATTTTACTAATGACGTAAGCGTTGAAATTTAATTTAAAACCTGAATCTACCCTTGATTGAATAGTTATATTCACCATATGTTTCGCTATAGTCGACTTCTGACCTAATCCTGACACCATTCCATGTATGGGAATTTTCTTAAGCCTTAAGAACTGCACTGTGTCCTCAGTCACAAAACAAGCCTGTGAACCTTGATCCAACAGAGCTCTTACTACCTGATAGTTATCCGTCTTGGACTCAGCTTTTACTAGAGCAGTGGCTAGTAAAACTTGTCCAGGAACAGGAACCGTGTTAGTAGATAATATGCAAGAGACTACTGGAACAGAACTAGTCGAAGGACTAGTTTCAACGACAGTAGGTTTTGATGCAGTATCACTCCTGTTAGTACCGTCTAGATTTGGGTGCAGCAAAGAATGATGACGCTTATGGCAAAGTTTGCAAGTTGTTGGCTTCTTACAGTTTATTACCGTGTGATTACCTCCTAAACAATTAAAACAAATGTTGTGTTGCGCTACAAATTTACGTCTTTCTTCCAAGGGTTCCTTTGCAAATCTTTTACAAAAGCACAGTTTATGAGACTCGTTACAATACTCACAACGTATGTTGCTTGAACTCACTACCATTGATTTAGCAACATGCGCATGATTATTTTGATTTTGAAGATGTCTCTTTGGTTCTATAAATTCAAGAGCGCGGAACCGGTTCTCTAAAAACGTAGCAAATTCATCATAAGTAGGCAACTCATTGGAATCATGATTATTAAGGCTTAATTCCCATTGTTTCCGCGTTTCTGAATCGAGCTTAAAAGTAACTATGTGGATGATAATGACATCCCAAGTTGTCACATCTACCTTTAGATTTTTCAAACCGTTAAGACAGTCATTTGTTGTGTCTAACAACTCCTTTAAAGAAATCGCTGACTCAACATGCATACGTTTTAACCCGAAAAGACGTTTCAAAATGCAGTTAACTAAATACTTTTTATTGCTGTATCTTTTGTCTAATTGTGCCCAACAGTGACTGTAATTTACTTCGGAAACCGGTGTTTGTCTAACAAGCTGTTCAGCCTCACCGCTAAGATGACTCTTCAAGTAGTGCATTTTCTGAACATTGTCTAAACTACTATTGTTATGCACGAGTGATACAAATAGGTCTTTAAAAGTTGTCCACTCAGAGTATTTGCCACTAAAGTTTGGAATTGATATTTTTGGTAGTTTTACAAAAGAGTTTATACTTGATTTATTTGAGTTACTAGAAGTACCAGGTTCCGAAATAGTAGCCTTAGGCACATTATATTTAGCAAGCATGGACTTAATCAGACATGTGTATGTGACATATGTGTCTTCTGTACTATCATATAATTCCGATAACATTCTATTCCCTTGCGTTTCATATTGTTCATGCAGTTTAGTGTAATTAGTTACAAACAAATTCCAGTCCCGTTCTAATAACTCTCTTCTTGTTTCAATATAATCAACAGACAGTCTTTCTTTAGGCGACTTTTTAAAATTACTCAACCCTCGCTGAATAACATTTTGAAGTTCCATTAAAAGATTAATTAACCCTTCCATTTTATTGACCAAAATATCAACTAACAAAAGCTAAACAATTAACTTGTGTAAATAAACAACTCTAACCAAATCTCATCAAACTTAATAAGAACAATACAACATACAAAACAATTTGAAAGAAATTTCATAAATATTTGAATGAATTTTTATAAGTGACCAAACTAAGGAATTATTCTAAGTGTAAAAAATTCCTAAATTTTTTACAAGTGTTTGAACTTCATTTATTGGGACGGAAATCCGGCATAGACTCCCCGTTCCCTCGTTTTTTCTAAAATTATTCTAAGTCTAATATGCAGATATTACTCTAAGATTAAATTAAAATAAACTTAGTCTTTTCTTCATAGATCACAATCCAGTAAAATATTCTAAGTCCGAAATATCTTTGAAATAGAGTCTAAAATTGCTTGAAACTTGTCTTGAAATTAAACAATAAAAAGAGTACTCACAGTTTGCACTTCACACTAACACACTATGCACCTTCAAGTGGCGCCCTCTGTGGCTGCCCGCTGAACTGCGCGTACGTCCCTTGTGACGTCGCGTGACGGCTGCGCCACCTTGCTGTCTTCTAGTGGAGTGTTGATCTGAGTGGCGCCCTCTGGTGGCCACTCGTTGAACTAATCCGCCAAAGCTGGCTCAGCTCACCGCCAATGCTGTGTGAAGCTGTCGCCGCTAGTGCGGAGGACTCGCGTACCTTTCTGTAGCAATCCACTACAAGTACGCGGAAAAGCGGCCAACGCGGTCGCCGTTTTGAACTCAAAAATGATCCGGGTCGTATGGACCAATGTTTCCTAGCTAAGCTACTAGGTGATCTGCTGACCTACTAGCACACAAGATGGGGTGAATATAAATAAAACCGCCACTGTGTACTGTTCTATGCTGGTATATATATTTGTTCTTGTACTTTGAACTTTGAACTACTTGGTCTTACAAATCAATTTTACCTTATAGTTTCATTGGTAACGAAACCATAGCTCGATTTTAATTGCGGCAACGCCATCTATCGAGCCATGAGACAACTTTGGAATAATAATATTTATTTTGACTTTAACAATAAGTTTGGTCTTGAACATTTATTAAAGGACCCCAGACTCATTCGGTTACTAACAATGAGGAGGTTTGTAAAAATTGGTACGCCACTCCAAAATATTACACACCCATCAGAGTCACTCATCAATAACGTACGAAGCATGACAGAGCAGTATGTTTGGGCTGGCTTGTACCCGGTGCACAAGGTCAGCGCTACATTTAATAGTCACTTAAACACGAGCTTCAGCAACCATGAGGTGATTAACCAATCAAGTGTCAAGTACCTGACATCCAAAGCACACAGCCACCTTGTCACAGCAGTTTACCAGCTCCTGGTACAGTTCCACCCAACCTTTGACTGTCTCCCCTGTGATAACATCACTTGTGCCACATCTCTGCTGAGCCTCCACCATCAACGATATCAGGGTTTTAGATAGATCTACTATTGTCATAATGGCTATGAACAGCATAAAAGACTCATGTACTAGGGTACATCTCCACATATATTCCGATACTGCATTAGGTATCGGAAAAACATATTCCCAAAAAATATGATTATGAATACTTTCAAAAATTATGACGACGACGCCATATAAACAACAAGCTACGAATATAGCCAAGCTTAACCAGTGGTAAGTTGATTTGAATGAATAAATTATTTCTCTATGACATTTTAAACTTTCGTAGACACGAGTGACACTCATATAGTATGACACAAACGCGTGGCTGTAGGTAGTGCCGATCACAACTGATACAAAACAGCTTACGAAAGATGACATTCCAAATATGTAAAAATGTAAATATTCATTGTAAGCAGGAGCTCGTTTTATTAAGAAATACACTCCATCAAAGACCTCTATAAGATACAATGAATTCTGCACTGACAATTGTATCATTACCAAACATTTTTTAATCTTGTTGTAATTTGAGTAGTTTCTGTAAATGCCGAATATATTTTCGATTGATGAAAAAAAGTTCAACCACTGAGTGGGACGCATGATTCTTGTAGCCCAGACACCGATGGAATATCTAAAAAGTTAACCATATTTTTTAATCACTTAAAAAGTTTTTAATCATTACATTGACATGTGTTTCGATAAGTGGATACATATTTTGTAAAATAAGTTACAGTAAAAATAATTCTTTACTGAAATTACTGTCACGATTAGGTACCACGACATGAAATACAATAAAACAACAATGTACATTTATTTTATATAATATGATTAAACTGCAGTAATATAATGAAATAACTGACAGCCAACATAAATATAAATGGCAACATGCACATTCCGGCTGACGCTTTGGATAACAACTTGATCCGTAGCGGATTCTTCTTTATCAGCCGTATGAAGTCTTTTACCAACTTATTTTCAGGTTGACTTGAATCTAAAAAATAGAACATCATCATGTTTAACATCACTCGACACGACTCTCACACGTTGACTTGCGACCACTCTGCCTCATTGGGCGAGTGGTCGCAAGTGCAAGTGGTCACGGGTTCGATACCCGGGACGGGCAAAGTACTACTGGGTTTTAAAAAAATTCTCACTGGTATTGTGCTCGATATATGGCAATAGGCTCACTCCCTATTATATGGGACTCATAACAGAAATAGTGAAAAGTGGGTGTTACATTGTACAGTGTCAATAAGTGTCGTAATGTGCAACTCTGTCTAACCCTTCGGGGATAAAAGGCGTGATGCTATGTTATGTTATATTATCTTTATCATCATGGCAGCCTCAGAATGTCCACTGCTTAACATTGATCTCCCCCAAAGACTTCCAGATAGGCCAATATTGCCAGAAATGTAAAGCTTTCTAAGTAAAATAATCAGGTTCAAATGCTACACAACGACAAAAATTAATGTTAGACACACTTTTAAAAGAGGTCTTTAAATTCTTCAAGTTTGTTTTTTATTCAATTCAGATATTAATTACATTACCTCCTCAACAAACCACGTTTTGGCGCAGACGTACAAACAGGGTGTGTAATCAAAAAATGTAAAGTGCTTATACGTGATATAATTACTAGGAGAATAGACACAGTTGACTGGTTATTTGTCTACCTATAAATGCTGGTCGTTTCCAATCTGCTACTCTTGAAGTGGGAGAGGACTGGGTTTAGAAGTACATGTCTTGTGATTGACATAGCAACAAAGAATATTGTAAATAAAGTGTAGGCAGTAGACTGCGCGACATCGCCGCGACCGCACACGCTGATCATGAGGAAGTCCCTTTGTGACTCGAAACTAGTAGAACTTTTCTCAGTACATTTACGTGAGTAACTCGTAATTTTTAGTTATTTGCAAAAAGCATATTTATTATTAGACTACCTCGTTGGCCGAGTGGTAGTAAGTGCGACTGCCGGGCAAGGGGTCTCGGGTTCGATTCCCGGGTCGGGCAAAGTATTACTGGGTCTTTTAATATTCTCAGTAGTAGCACGGAGTCTGGAATTGTGCCCGGTATATGGCAATAGGCTCACCCCCTATTACATCGGACTCATAACATAAATAGTGAAAAGTGGGTATTACATTGAACAGTGATATAATGTGCACCTCTGCCTACCCCTTCGAGGATAAAAGGCGTGATGTTATGTTATGTTATGTGTTATGTATATTTATGATTATATTGGTATGCGTATGATGTATTCGCATATACTTTCTTTTTGAAAGGGGACATCATCATCATCATCCAATGACTTCTCCCACCTTGGGTTAGGCGAGAGGGAGAGCCAGACTCTTACTGACTACAAACCATATCGTTCTTACTCCTACTCATTGAGCCGGAGCACCGGCAACCCGCCTTCCGCGGCTTCGTATATGGATTCGCATATACCTAGGTATACATTGAACTTACCAATCAATGTATTGTACAGTGAAGCCAATTTTTGTTGCAATTTCATTCCTTGATTCTGCAGCTTTTGTCCGGCAAATAATGACAATATCATCACCAGTAAGTAAACAGTGGCTATGAGCAACATTCTCGCTAATTCTTGGAACAAGGACTGGTCCTTGTTCTCGATATATGGCAATAGGCTCACTCCCTATTAGGGATTTTATGTTTCAGGATGGGGCCTGGGCCCCATCCTGAAACATAAAATCCTTGTAACATTTTAGCCTCTTCTCTATACTAATCATTAGTTCATTATAGTTTTAAGTGTGGGAGAGCCATGCTTCGGCACGAATGGGCCGGCTCGACCGGAGTGATACCACGACCTCACAGAAAACCGACGTGAAGCAACGCTTGCGTTGTGTTTCGTCGTGTGAGTGAAGTTACCGGATGCCCAATCTCCCCAATCCCTAAATCCCCAACGATCCTCAAACTCCTAATCCCCAAAAGGCCCGTAACGCACTTGTAACGCCTCTGGTGTTCCAAGTGTCCATGGGCGGAGCCGATTGCTTACCATCAGGTGATCCGTCTGCTCGTTTACCGGCTAATACAATAAAAAAAAATATAGTATATGTATAAAAAGACCGACAGACCTCCACCGCATGTAAACAAACAGTATGATACATCATCAGAATGTAATGTGTTAATGTCATTGTCAACGTAAATACAAACTGAAACAAGACAAATTTATTTAGTCATTTTATATAATTGGGTAGTTGCCAGGGTATCAGCATTAAAAATCTAATTAGTCCGTCAGTTAGATAATAAAAAAATATTAGACAAGTATTTTTTTATTTTCTCGTGTTAAGTTGCAATACTTAGATAAAATGGCGCTAAGTTTAGGAGGTCGTTGCGTTATAACGTGCTACAAAATGTGGCACGCTGTGACGTCATACAATATTTCAAAAAGTATTTAATTTTGTGAGAAAAGAAAAAATACGTGTCAAAGGTTTTAAATTAATGTACCAGACGGACATTAAAATAAAATTTAGGAAAGTACCCTATTGTGGTAATTCAAAATCAATATGATTGCCGAGTGTTACCTGTTGTCCGAAGGCGAGGCTCTCGTTTTCACAACAGCTTACTAATTCTTGATAAAGTGCTACCCATTCCTGAATCTGATATATCGTGACGTCACGCTCCTCGCCAAAATTTATGTCGTTCATCCCCACGGTCTTCTTGGCAGTTGTTATCAACAGTGTCAGGCTTTTGCTCAAATAAAATACTAACATAATACTCACGAAGGACAGAAAGTTTTGTATTATTATTATTATTCTTATAACTGTTAAGCATACGAGTATAGTACCCAAAATAAGTGTATCCGTTGACTTTGGAAAGTATTTTATCGAATCCACAGCTCTGTAGATAGAAAATACTGGAACGAATAAGGCAAAAGGCAGAAGGAAGCAGAATAGTTTCTTAACTGATTTTATTAATGTTGTGTCAGTAGTGAAATGGTTGGAGAGACGACTGACGCTGCTGTGGAAGGACATGAAAGCCTCACTGTACCACACGCTGTTCAGGACAAAAGCCAAGGAGTTTAAATAAGCAACCAAAGAATATAACCCAACGATATAAAATTCACTCGTAATATCATTGCTAAACAACAACCAGAATTCACTTAAAACGACAATAAATTGCAACGTGTTCTGAACAAGTATGTGTAAAATGATCAAACGTTTGTTAACATTCTTAAATCTACAATAATTTTTGTATATCCCAAAAACATTTTCTATCATATAAAATGTTTCGAACCACTTTATAAATGACATGCTTGTTTGTGATATGTTCCGGCATCAAACACGTAATATCGGAAATGGATGGAACCGTTTTAATAATATAATAATTTAAATTAAGTGCATAAGTGGTCAACTAACAATGTCAATTTCATTAATAATAAAAAACTTTTACATCATATTGTCATAAACTTATTTAATTGTTAAATCTATTAGGATGTGTGTATCATTTATAAAAATATAAGGCATATAATCTTTGAAGTACATCGTTGTCTAAATATATTGATTTTGTAGTATCAGACACAGACAGCAATTATTGTACTTATTGAGGCCATAGAAGTGGCAATAGATTTGATATTATCAAAAAATAGATACTGTCCTAATACATACATGTCGTGGTAGGTCGTGGGTGGTAGTACTTAAAATGGTGACGTCATAATACTTTAACTGCCAAGTTTAAAATGGTGAAAGTCAAACCTCCACTAGCGTCAGGCACCGGTGACTGACGTGGCGCTCTAAGGGTTAATGTAGACGTCACGTTCTTTGTAGAACTCGGTATCCATTAAATATTCCTCATTCAAAATAACAGTTAATCTCAAAATAGGTTACACTTGGTTTATTTTACAAAATTATAATAATCAGTGCTCTGTACAGTATGACAGTAGATGACAAAAAGTCAAGTACAAAGTGTGTGATGGTATTTATACTCCGGCGAGTAATAATTTTTCACAATCACAATATTTTTACACATTACATTTTTATATGTGTCGTGGGTACGTTTACAAACATACAAGTTCACATACACATGACACCCAGACCCGGAACAACAATCTTTAAATCACACAAAGTTGCCCGGCCTCCACGTCAACTGTGCAG